TTAAATGTCTTTATCCGTACTCACTGAATGGGGCTAATTTTTTATAACTCATCTGTTTAAAAGATATTAAGGTGTTAAGAGTTATGCATATGTTTGCATAATAAGAAGGAAGATGATTTGACTGACATGTGGGCACCTTGAGGCTGTAGCTGACCTTGTACCGATGGAAATGATATTTCCAATATGGCGACTTCCGTCATAGAGTTGTGCATAGGTTTGCATACTTGGAAACATTAGCTCGTCAGTAAACATATTCTCTATTTGTCTGTTTCGAGATTGATTGACTGTTGGTCGGCAATATCATTTCCAACATTAGTTAAATGCCCCTTGGAGCACTCTTGTTGTGATGGCGGGCTTTTCAGTGGTTGTTTTCTGTGATTTTTGAGTTTTGGTCTTTACATTGCTTACTGTATATATTTGCGAGGTGAGGTGCGAGGTGACGTTCATGCAGCTATTCCGTCTTTTTGTAGCTCGTTCTGTCGTTTGCAGCGTGTTTCCGCTTTGCATTTGTTTTGGACTTTTCTCTTGTTTTTGAATTTGCATCATCTCTGAATTTGCAGCCAGGTTATCTCTGATACAAACCATTTGGTCTGTCGGCTATCGTACTTCCTTCTTTAACAAGTATTACCAGAATACATCTAACGAGTTCAATAGAGATATGAAGATTAAATCATATCACACTTAAAGGATTGTCACAGAGAGTCACTTCCTTAATGGCTGCTTGTAGTTGTCCTTTGAATATGATTTCATATCCATGACTGTGACTCAGCCAGCCATATCTCTACTCCTGTGCAAACTTTACAACTGGATTATCTGGTAATATGTTTTCTCATTGAGTGTTGAGTTTTGTCTTTCATGCCGTGTTTAAGAACCTGTCAGTCACATGAAATGAACTGTGGAAACATCTCCTATCAGCGGCCTTTGTTGTTTTGACACTGATGGTTTCTGTGGAAGACATTATTACGCCGACCTGCACCTGACATCAGTGTCATGTGCTTCTCGGCGAGGATTTTTTAAAATCGCACATGGCTCACATACATAGTACACTACATAGTAAATATGCCATTTTGTAGTGGTGTCTGAATTCTCAGCGAGCGTTACCATACCCTATAAGACTTTGCCTAACAAGGCTACTGTGGGTCATAGCTAATGCCAAAATAAGAACCTTGCAGAGTCTCTGTCTGTCCTCACAGACTTTCTTCCTCTGTCCACAATAACATGAAGAAACATTTTAAATGTGCTCTTAGATTAATGTTTACTTGCAACACAATAAAATAACTATTAGCCTACATGATTGAAAACAAAATATATTTGAGTAAAAACCTGTTTGTGTCTTTTGGATGTCTGAGCTCGCCAGAGTTTTGACAAGTCAAAGTGGGTCACGAGCCGAAAAAGGTTGGGACCCACTGCCCTATATAGTCCACTCATTGTATCCCACAATGCATTGTGCAAGTATTTTAAAATATCCATGCAATATATACCATCATGCATTGGGGTTCAATTTTTTTTGCGTGCGGCGTTTATTGAGTTCAGTAACATGTAAAAGTCATCGAAAGGAGAAAATGACAAGGTGAGAAGCAGGCAGTGAGTTCTTAGAGGAAATCTGAGAGATTTTCTGTGCTGGTTTTGTTGTTTTCTCATTGGTTCATATCTGTCAGTTAGTTTTACATCTCTCCCACCGCTCTGACCTCCCTGACGTTCTCGTGATAGTGTATTGTACAAAGAGCTCACAGGGGAATTGAACGGTCTGAAAGTCAGACCAGGATGTGGAACAAAAGCTGTGGAAGTCTTTGATGCTCTCTGGCTGAATGGACCAGCTCACCTCAAACATGCTATTCAGTCCTCCGGGGTTCATTCTTCACCGAACAACGATCCCGATGTTTGGTTCAGTCTGAAATATCTCAACAACTCCTGGATCAAAAGATTTGGTTCAAATTGGCAAATATCTTGTGAATTGTCATGAAATTTGATTCAGACATTCAGTTTCCTCTTCGGGTGAAATGTAAAAACTTCCTGAGTTCTAATTTAAAGGTCACATGTTATTTAAAAATCCACTTCACCATGTTCCTCTAACTCTAACATGTGTCTCTAGTCTGTCTACAAGCCCCCCAATGATGAGAAAAGTCCATCCTCTCCGTCTTTCCCCTGCTCCACTTTTCAGAAAATGTGTGCTCAAACAGGCCGTTTGGAGATTTTCCCTTCATGACATCACAAAGGGCAGTAGCCCCTCCCCCAGGTGGGTGACACTCCCACAGCTAGGTGTTTGTTCTACCCTCTGAGTCTGCCTTCTCACCGTAAACAATAGGACATGGAGCGAGAAAGCACCGAGTACACCCGAGCCCTTCCAGAGAGGGGGCGTGGTCAGACACAGCTCATTTACATATTTAAAGGTACAGACACAGAAACAGCCTGTTCTGAGCAGGGCTGAAATAGAGGGGTTTATAGACATGATCAAATACAGGATCAGAGTGGATTTAGAACAAGAAACTTCACACACATGTTTTGAGGAGCTCTGAGAGTCTGAGAGAGGGGAATGACGTGTGGGAAAGGAGCTGCAGGTGGACTTAAACTAATCCCAAGGCCATCAGCGCCCATGTTAGCCTTTTGTAGATTCACTGTTTTTTTTGTTTGTTACACTTTTTTTTTGTTAAATCTATTAAGTTTATTATAATACCAAGACACCCCATGGTGTTGACCCACCTCAAAACAAACTGATACATATTGATATGATTGAAAACTCTTCCTGCAAAAAACATTGAAAAAGTGTCAGATATATATTTGTTGTTGAAGGTCATAACGGTAGTGATTTAAATGCCTCAATGAAGGCCTGAATGTAACAATAATTTGCACCTCATGCTGCTAAAGTGTTTCAAGAAATAATTTCCAGGTTCCCACGATTCTTTAGAGAGGAACAACGAGCGCACCGGGGGAGTTTCAGTCTGAAAATGGTGATTATTAAGAAACAAAACAACAATAATAGGTGCTAAGACTGTAATCTCCGTCTGTGCCCGATAATTACTTGATCCCTACATGGCAGATGGAGGTGTGTGTGTGTGTGTGTGTGTGTGTGTGTGTGTGTGTGTGTGTGTGTGTACTTCCCTGAAGTAAGAGGCCTGAATATAAACTGCAAAGGCTCAAAGCATAGCTGCTTTTCTCTATCAGACCTCTGACGCTCCTTTACTCTAAAATGTGTTTTTTAATATGAACTGAGGGGACATTGGTCAATGGAGGATTCCCTGTCTCCACCCTTACCCGCTCTTGTCGCCTAGCAACCTCAACAGCTGTGCCAGAACTAGCTAACATAACCAACATCTCGAATACAAAGGAAGAATGTGTGACTTTTTGATCCAGTAGATGTTGACCTTCAGCACCAGCATGAAACCAAAACAAACTGCTGTTTGGCCACGCCCCCTCCATCCTGAAGCCTCCGCCCTCCTCCAGAGACACACCTCCAACCTTCCTCCACTCGAGTTCACACGGAGGAGTTATCAAATGGAACGTAACGTAATTAAACACCATTAAGCACAAGCACGGTGGACAAAATCGTCCTTGGCTCGCGCTGCAATCCGCTGTGTCCTGCATTGTTGTGTTAGCATGCTAATGTTAGCACTCTTTAGTCAGCTCGTAGCTTCACATTGTTCTGTTAGCATTCTAATGTTAGCGCTCTTTAGTCAGCTCGTAGCTTCACATTGTTCTGTTAGCATGCTAATGTTAGCACTCTTTAGTCAGCTCGTAGCTTCACATTGTTCTGTTAGCATTCTAATGTTAGCGCTCTTTAGTTAGCTCGTAGCTTCACATTGTTGTGTTAGCATGCTAATGTTAGCACTCTTTAGTCAGCTCGTAGCTTCACATTGTTCTGTTAGCATTCTAATGTTAGCGCTCTTTAGTTAGCTCGTAGCTTCACATTGTTGTGTTAGCATGCTAATGTTAGCGTTCTTTAGTCAGCTCGTAGCTTCACATTGTTCTGTTAGCATTCTAATGTTAGCGCTCTTTAGTTAGCTCGTAGCTTCACATTTCATGTAAACTGACACAGAATGAGCGTGATCTAAAAACTCTTACTAACATCCAAATAATCAGTGAGTATGTTCTTCTTCTTCTCTCTAGTTCTTGACTAAAACAGCTTTTATACACAAGGGGAGGAGCCGGCCGTCCCGTCCATGTAAACACGGCTCTGACAACAACACAGCCAGCGGGACTCGAGCTTCTCCCTCATTGTAGACAGTCAGGACTCAGAGACACATTTACACAGGACAGACTTTATGATTTATTTATGGGAAACATGTCATACAGTCTTCCTTTAACATATTATTTTAAAGATCATTTTTTTCTATAAAGTTTCAGTTTCTTGGTTTCCATTTATATAACAGTGTTGAGAGTCTGCAAGCTCATAATAATTTAGCTTGCAATTAATAAATGAATGAAAAGGTGGATTTGTGTCCAATCATGTTGTTGTTGATGTTTTGTCCAACAAAGTTTTTGGCTGCTGAGGTTTAAACCTGCAGAGAAAAACATGATGATCGTAAGTCAGGTCAGCTGAACATGTTTTCTCTTTTCAGCAATTTACAAAATATCAATAAATTCAAAAGAAAAGTGAAATTCAGTTTAATTATATTAATAATTTATTAAAAAGTTCTTCTGTTCATTCAAATAAAGCAGAACATCCACACAGACCCGTCTCCTTCTTTACAGACACTTCATTTTGACACACCTGTGGTGAACAGGTTGGCTTGACAACGCGGAGCAGGGAAGGAGGGGGGAGGAGGAGGAGGGGGACAGTAAGGAGAGAGAGAGAGGGGGGGGGAGGGGGACAGTAAGGAGAGAGAGAGAGAGAGAGAGGGGGGGGGGACAGTAAGGAGAGAGAGAGAGAGAGAGAGAGGGGGGGGGGGACAGTAAGGAGAGAGAGAGAGAGAGAGAGGGGGGGGGGGGGGGGAGGGGCCTGTGCATGTCGGAGACCAATGGCAGCACAGGTATCAACAGGTGCGCACTAAGCACACACCTCACTTGTACACGTACGCGCACAGACTCTGGTGTAAAGGGAGGAGGTGGCTGCGGAGCTGAAAGTCTCCCGGGACTCGGATCCGGTCTGTCATGACAGGGAACTAGAGAAGAGAGGACCATTACACCGCCTCACAGGAACATAGACCCGAAGACCTGGATTGTAATCTGAACGACGGAAAGACTCCTCAGATCTTTCGATAATAAGGACTGAGTGTGAGAGCCTCGGTGGTGAGTTACTGAGCCTTCAGATATTTATTTTAGTTGAAGGTTTTCCTGCATTACGAGGCTGTGCTGTCGAGACTGTTTGTGTGGCTCGTAATGTGTGTGTATGCAAACATGTTTCTACAGACCCATTATAGAAGGAACTAGTTTCCTGTGACAGGATATTAAGTATCCCTCCACCCAGTTTGTTGGAGTTATTTCTCGTGAGTTTGTAACCCGGGGATCCGACAACCTTAATCCGGGGACTGCTGACTGAACAGGCACCATGATCAGCTCGGAGGACCTGCGTCCGGCTTCGTCCGGCAGGAAGCCCCTGGGTAAGCTCGCCACCCGGCTGGAGGAGGTGAAGAACCCGTGGCGGCAGGGCTCCACGCTGGAGCTGAGCCACAACGAGGCGGCCCGCCTGGCGACGGACGCGCTGCTGGAGCACGGAGAGAAGGAGTACCGCAGGGTGCTGGCCGAGGAGCGGGAGCTCAACTTTCTGTCCCCGCTGGAGGTCCGGTACATCACCAAAAACGCAGCCAAGGCGTGCGATTCCGAGAGCAACGGACTCGGAGCGAATGAGCGGGACTTCGGGGACGGGGACGCCGTGTCAGAGCTCACCTCCGGGACTTACTTCCCCATGATGTCCGACGAGGAGCCGCCGATGCTGGAGCTCGGTTGGCCGGACTCCCCGGCGAGATACGGACCGTCTGAGACGCAGATCTACTTCCAGAGGGACAAGTCCCATAACGTCAAAGACTTGATCAGGTCCCTGATCAACAAAGCCAAAAAGGTAAGAATAAACTCATTATGTGGATCTTTGACCTCATCAGGTCCCAGAAACAGAAGAATCATGAACTTCAGCATCATTTTATTGCAATAAGATTATTTAAAAGTACAAAGGTGCAAATGATTTCAAATGTCCGAGAGAGAGGAGTGTAGGCTATTTATCACATCTTAAATAAACTCTAATCAGCCAATCAATTATGGAACAATGTAATTTGTAATGTGTGTTTAACCTTTGTCACAGACTGAGGGCTCCTCATTGAAAACACACACACACACACACACACACACACACACACAGTTTATTTTTACTTCAGTTTTGTCCATTTCAGATGTGTCTCTGGGTCGGTTCAGAGAAAGATATCCAGCTACTTCTTTAAAAATATTCTGCCCTACAAAGCCAAAGGGCAGTATCTGCACTTTTTGTGAAATTCACTTTTTTAGCACAAATCGTAAGTGCAGTATCTGCTCTTCAACCTGTGAGAGTTTCGTAGTTCTACTGCTTTATTTCCCAGAGATATTGTTTTTTTTTTTAGTTACGCAGTATCTGTAAAATACACTGTGAAACCATGAAGAAGGTGTCAGATACTGCAGTTTGCCATTGTTTTAGGACCAACCAGGGTAAGGCTCATAACCAGGACACTCAATGTAAACACACTCAGTTTTATCAGAACCGGGGAGGTTACTTACAGCACTCATGTAATGGGTGAAAATATGCAGAAAAGGGAGATATGTAAAGCAAAGATGTGAAAATACTTCAGTTATTTTTGATACCACATGTTTTAAAACGATTCAATCAGTGTTATGTTACAAGCCAAAAGTACCAAGTAAAAAAAAAAACTACACATCTTAAAGTAATACTTTTATCGAACGACTGCTGCATGTGAAAGAGAGAGAGAGCAGTGGTGGTTTCTGTTTATCGATTTACTTTTTGAAGTCTTAAAAAGACGTAAAAGTTATGTTTATATCTCTCACTGAGTACATTTTGGTAATTGATGCCCAGGCCGATAAAACTGTTAGAAAATTAAATGTGTGTCACATGTGTCTCGTCAATGCATTCATGTGTTGCATTCAGTGTTAATTAATTGATTTTAATCAGTTGTTCAGTTCATATGAATTGTTGCTCACATATCTAAACATACAGGCCTGTAACTGTAAGATTTTGTTCATGACATGAAAATATATTTTAATCTGATCTATAAAATACTAAAACCCATTAACAATTGTTAGTTACTGCAGCCCATCAGTGTTATATAATTATTCAGCAATAAAACAAAGGCAAAGTGCAGTTTTAGCCGTAAAACTGAAATGGTTAACCTGAAAGTCAAATTACAATATGTTTCAAATTCACTTCACTTTCATCTAATCAATCATACAATTGGTTGTTGAATTTAATTTGATACTTACGCCTGGCGAACAAAAAACACAAAAAGCTGTTTTTCTCAGTTTGGCATTTTTGCAGATACTGCACTCTGGCTTTGTAGGGCGGTATTGTACAAGTGCGAGACATTTTTTTTCAGCTTCTGCAGTCAGCAAAGTCATCTAAATTATAAACTGACTGACCTCTGACCTCTGTCTGTTAGAGTCAAACACTTAAACAAAGGACATTTGCTCATTATATTTTTATTAGTTTTGTAAACTCACAAATAGTTTCAGTTAGTGACGGTTTACTTCCCTGCACAGCTGGTCAACTATGAACTATAGCAGAGTGATGATAATGAACTATAGCAGAGTGATGATAATGAACTATAGCAGAGTGACCCAGTGTTTACTGGTGTTTCCATCGCCTCGTTTTTATTTTAGTTTCAGTTTTTTTAAAGTTTGTCTTTGGGGTTGTTTATGCCTTTGTTGTAGAGATAGGACAGAATTGGATATCATGGAGAGAGAGAGGCAGTGCTGCAGGAGGAGCCCCAGGTCGGATTTGAACCTGGGCTGCCCACCTGGAGGACCTTAGCCTCCGTACATGGGGGATGCACACTAACCACTAGGCTACCGGCGCCCCACTAAAATGAATTCCTGTACAGTGAATTTTTCATTCTGTTGTTAGTTTTTCATGAGCGATATTTATCTTGCTGCAGACTCACTGATCGTCTGTCCCTCCTTGTGTGATACCAAAACTTTTTTCAGGTTGTTATAGCAGCCTAAACTTTATTGTGTGAAAAAAAAAAAAAAAGAAACCAGAAAAAAAAAGGTTTTCAGCATTGAGCAG